TCTTACAATAAAATAAACTGAGATCTACTTATTTCACTATGTTGACCCCGGGGTCCACCGATCCTTAGTCAAACCTAGATCTACTTATTTCACTACGCTGATTCCAGGGTTCACATCCTAAAACAGCATTTTGTTAGGTAGACCCCGCGGTCCACCTATCCTTTTGGGGCTAGATAGACCCCGTGGTCCGCCTATCCACTTCCTTGATAATAACTGGAAAACATGCCAGTTGTCATGAATAGTGAAGAAAAATGTGAAAAAAAAAGATAACGAGGTAGACGATAATTTGTCAAAAAAATTGCAAGTGCAAGTGAAAATCATAAGATAATTTTGTTATTTTCTGGTGATCTTTTCACGGTTTATAAAATGTTCCAGTGGGCTTACTACTAGATCTATGTCTCTGAAGAACATTTTGCTTGATTTTATTAGCTTTTTTCATGTACTTGAAAGCATAGAATAAAATAGTTTCACACAAATGTATGCACAATACCTTAAAAAAGAAAGATAAGGTCATTGTTGTTGTTGTTTTTTTAACGGAATCCGTTTTACGTTGAAAAAAGCGCTAAAAACAAGTTTAAATTTTTTAAAGAATGCCCATAATATTAGGAATCCGAAATTACTACCTTGATCTAGTTTGCTGACTCTTTAATAACCATGAGCTGTTAAGAAAAAAAGAGAATGATATAGGATTTGTCTAAATATGACCATTAGTAAGATATTGCCCATTTTGTCCAATTATCCTTGCAGGTTTTAATCACCCTGTACTGCACCTCAATAAGCACAAAAAGAATATTTCTGTGACTTTGTATAAAGGTGTTTTGTAGTTGAGTTCTATGTAAAATTCTCAACAAAATAATGTACATTTGGACCGTACAACTGGGATAGACACTCATGCACACAATAACATTCACACATTACACATACACATACAAACACACTACTACATTTACTCTCTCTCTCTCTCTCTCTCACCACAACCACACACAAAACAAACACATACACACACACACACACACAACTCTTACACTTGGTCCACTTATTTAGAATCATCCTCTATTTTGAAATAATCCCCCGCACTAAATAAAAAGATCAGTAGAATCTCGACCTTCCGAATCCATGGTTAGTTCAAGAAATCTACCATATGATGTGGCCTAAATAAGGTACACACATACATAAACACACACACACACACACACACACACACACACACACACACATACACACACAAATACAAATACACTCAAACACTCACGCGCACACACACACAGACACACACACACACAGACACACACACACACACACACACACACACACACACACACACACACACACACAAAGACACAGTATTTCTGTTGACGTTTAATGTCTTAGCAACAGCAGAAACGCACAGAGCAAGCTGAAAGCTTAATTTACCTGATGTTGAGTTAAACCTACGACTTTTTTGGGTGACAATGATCAAATGTTAGAGACCTAGAAGTTTTTTTATTTTAAAAAAAATACACCTAAAGTACTTCATAAACAAAGAATATTTAAAAAATCCGCTACGTGGTCAAGAAAAACTGGCCAATTTTCTTCTTGTTTTCTTCTTTTTTTTTTGACGCTGGTGCTGCGAACATTACTTCGAAGCAACTCCAATAAAAGAGTACTCACATGGAAGATTCAAAATACTAAATCTACATTTTATGCCACAATTTTAAAGTTGTACTGGTACTTTTCTTTTGATTGCCAGTATTATATTCACATCTCA